ATTGGTCAGCACACTGGAGCAGGCCATTCTCGCACACCACCAGATCAGTACCTCTGGAGGCCTGAGCAGGGCGGGCAGCTGCAGCTTTGCCGAAGAAGTGGCAGGGCACAGTGGTCGTCGTCGCGAGACACCCTTCAGGGACAAAAGCACTCCTGGGTGGAAGCGACTTCCATCCGCGTCGCCACAGTTGGCACGGCACCCTGGCCGCGACAACGGACATCAGCAGCTTGGGCTTCTCAAGGTAGCCTGCCGATGCTTAGCCGGCGACAGGCCCGAGACTGCGGGCAACTGACTTCGCGCCAGGGTAGAGCCGCCTCAGGACCAGTGGGTTAGTCCTTTGCTCAACGTCGAGGGTTGCACGGCCAGAGTTTGGGAAAGCGTTCGGACACTTGCTGCGCGGATCGAGCAGCGGGCCCATCGCCGTGAACTGCGTGAATCTCCTAGTGAATTCGAAGTTTGGCTTGCTGATCTCTCCTCCTCAGGCGCTGTCTACCGGTCTCTTCGAGAGGCTCCACTTCCTACGCCGAAGATCATCGCGGGCCAGGTCGCGGTCTCACACCCGAAGGACATTCTCGACGTGAACGGCCGCCAGTTGGACAGCATCTGGAGGCCCAGCCCCAGTGACGAGTCAAGGTTGCGAGCAGCGGTCGAGGCCGCATTCAGCGCAGCCAAGACTGAGCCCTTGGAACCCGTCACGGGGTGCGAGGAGCGCGCTGCGGCCAGGCTCGTGAGAGGCGAGACGGGGCTCGGCGCGGACCGCCCAACTCCGATTGATATCGAGCGGATGCCCGACGCAGGCATCGAGGAGTTGACAGCACTATTCCATTATTTCGAGGTCACGCCCACGCGGCCCCAGCAAACGCAGTTGATTGCGGGGAAGCCGCTTGCCAAGAAGGCAGATGGCGACAGGATCGTCCGCCCCACCTCAATGTCGGGGCGGCCGCGGTCCATGATTCGAAAGCGACGCGTTCGCGAGTGGGCTTCTGTTGCGGAGGTCCCTCCAAGAGGCCCTTGTTCTCCAGACGTTGAACGGGCCATGAGGCTCAGCACAGCTCACGGCATGCTGGACACACGCGGCTTCTACGACACGATCGAGTGGGATCCCCCACTCCCCGCAGCGCTGCCACTTGGGCGTCCCCCACTATCATGTATGGAATCGGCTCAATGTGCAGCACCACGCACTTCGGAGCAATTCCGGGCAGCGCGCGCTCCGTTCCAAGGCGGCCGCTCCAGCACACAAGGTGTCAGAGGCGGCACCCGCTTCGCGAGGTGCATGACGCATTGCATCCCCGCAGGGATCTCTCTTCGGCCCACGTCGGGATCAGCCACAGGATCTGGACGGGCGTCCTTTCGCAGAGCGTGGTCGCTCCAAGTTCTGCCCTCCGCACCGAGGAGTCGCCGCGTGCCTGGCTGACACCTGCGATGATTCCCCCGAGTCGGTCGCCATCTGCTCAATCCACGGCGACGCCGAGCAGATCTCTCGGCGACTTCGCACTCTGATTTCAGGTGCGCGCAATTCTCCAAGCCCCCCTCTCGGGCATTGACCAACGAAGTGGCGGCCGGCATGCACGTCAGACTCGAAGGAAGCGGGTCGTCAAGCACGCGAAGCTCCACGGCAAGGTCCTTCGGATTGCTCGGGCCTCGAAGACCTACAGGGTTACCAGCAGGTACGAGCGTACCAGCGCTGCTGCAGCTGGCAACTACGGCCACCGCATCTTCGGCACCTTCGGCATCCAGCTGGAGCACCTTCGTCGCAGTCTGGCCGCTGTGGCGGGCAATGGCAGCCGCGGCCTCTGCAAGACTTCCCTGCAAGCCATCGAGGAGCCTGGCCACGACCCAAGCATTACGTATCCACATGGATGTATTGAGCTCTGGCTTGGACAGTGGTTCGGCAGCCAACCCTGCGGGGCGGGGTGCACCGTGTCTGGGGCTCAGTGGTCCAACACCTGTGCCTGGGGCCAAGCGGACGCGCTGCGATTCGTGGGCCCGTGTCGGCGGTCTCATCACCTGACTCCTTGAGAGCGGAACGTGGACCCCGGTACGCCTGCGTTGTGGAGCATGCCCGACGGCACTGGATGGCAACTTCTGGAGGATAGGCATGCTGACATCATGGTGCCCAATGGGATTCGTCAGTGTTCGCTGATTCCGAGAGGATTTCAGAGTTGCTGGTATGGCGACGTGCTGAGTCTCACATCTGTGGTGGTGGCCTTGGGCTGGGAGCCGACATGGCATCCCTGCGACGGCTCCTACGCCACCTTGAGCAGTCTCAGCACGGGAAACGGTCATCAGAATTGTTGGCCGCTGTGGCCGATGGCGGGGGATGGCCCCAGCAGAGACGAGCAGAGGCAGCCACCAAGACGCCAGTGGACCCCACGCGCCCTGGATGCAAGTGCTGCTGCGAGACCGCCTACCACCGCATCTGGGGCTGCGAATGCAACCATGGGCAGGTGGCGCGTGAACAATCTCAGCTTCTTTGTATTCAGGCACAGTCTCAGCACGAGGCCGACGAGGCGATCT